ACCCCTCAAAATGCACTCAGATTTGATGCATTAGTCCAACACTTTAAAAAAAATCTTACCGGGGGAGTCATGCCCCGGACCCCCCTATAGGATTGAGGGCCAGCCCCACCTGTTCCCAAATAGATTGCATTTTTTAAATAGTAAGACGAGCCCATCTCCATATGTTCTTTTTGAGGTAGTAGATTTTAAACCTAGAGGCGCATCACTTGTCCACGCAACGCTATTGAGTAGAATTAAATCGAGTCAAAATGCACAAAAAAATGGTAGGGCCTCAGTGGACGAGAGATCATTTAACATCCAGTAAGGATGTCCAAAGCGTTACTTTATTTTAATCCATAAAGAAAAAGAAACTGTATTATCAGTGGCTTCATTTAATGGATGTTGAGAGGTATCCATATAATCTCTTCATTTTGCTCTCAAAGTGCGACCAGATTGATGCATCTAACTTCAATATGTAAAATAAAAATGTTCCCGGGGGAGCTGCCCCCGGACCCCTCCTAGACTAGAGGGTGTCCAGGTCCTACTCCCTACTTGATAAAATAGCACTTTACTGCACGTGCACCTCCTCTAATCTCAGATGCAGCTCCATGGAGTCCATTTGTGTTAAAGTACAGTGAGCCTTTCTAAAATATTACAGTAAAGAGACAACCTCACCAGCATTATAGGATATTACTAGACTTGTGCAAATAGCTTGTTGCTGATTTCGAGAGTACCGCACCTTTTTTTATTCCATCAAGCACTGGATAGATGACATGTGTGCCAGAGGTTTCCGTTCAACGAGCGGTTGGCTAGCAGAAGACAATTACAAGGTAGCCGTAAGTATAGCATTTTGGATAGGCTTGACGTTGCATGTTACGTTTGTTCTGTAAGCTAACGTTAGCGAGCTGAATAGCGAACTCGATGAGGATATATAATAATTGCAGGTAAATCATTTCAGAGGAGCGTACTATATTATGTGCGTTACGAGCCGCTTCGTGTGTGTTTCAGAGGATGAACACTCACGGCATTTCGGTTAGTAGTCACAAAATGAATAACTATTGATTCCGACCACAGAGCGATTGTGAAAGCAATGTATTTCACTGAGTAGATGTTTCGTGCCAAAACAATGTGACGTGCTCTAATTTCACATTGCCCGAAGACACATTTTTCGTTTGTATGACTGGTCTGGGGGAAGCTCGCGAAGTGTGTTTGGTACTTGTTTGCATTTGTGTACCGGGGAAACCTGTACAAGAAACACCGGACTGTTGTTATGCTTGCCTGTACGTTAAATTATCCGTTCTCTGCTTGTAATTATTCCGTTACCGAAGCTTCAAAGTTGTATTATCTCTGATTTGCCGAACATAGTTTAATATTCGTGAAGCCAATACTTGTTTATGTTGAAAAGAGAGAAAACAAACTTTCTTTATATAAAATTGAAGTATTATACAAGTAAAACACATTTTGCTTTAATCCCATGTAATTGTAGAATTAACACAGTTCCTTTGAAGATGTATCCTTGTCAGGAGTGTCTTGAGTAGTTCAACATTAAAAAAATCATTGTACATCATTTGTAAATATTTTACCCACTTGTTACCATTGGACGCCTATTTTATATGTAGCTTTCTGCGTGATTTTGGCTAGCAATTCTGGCTAATACGCTACCAGAGGTGGAATAAGTACCTCATATAAACAACGATCTCTGTACTGTGAGTAATAAGTAAATACCTGCAGATATTGTACTTGAGTAAAAAGTAAAGTACAGAGTGTAGGAAATACTCCTGGTACAGTAAAGATCCTGCATTCAGAATGTCACTCAAGTAAAAGTAGAAAAGTATTCTCATCAAATATAGTGAAGTGCCGGATCAGTAAAAAGTACCTCCATTGTGGGCGCAGATTGGCTCCATTTCAGAATAATAGGATATGAATGTTTTATAATGATTGATCATCTAAAGTGTTCCAAAGCTGTAAATAGGTGCGGAGCTAGTTTGCAGCTTGGTAAGTTCTGGCATGGGTAGCTTGTGGATTACTCCAGGTGGAACTTAAAGTCTGAATTTATACACTTATGATTATAATGTTGTGATTGTAATCACATTAATTAACTACATGGGCCTCCACATCTGTAAAAGTACAACCTAAAAGGTATTAATACATGAGTGAGGAAAAGTAACACCTTCACCTACGTCAACTATTTTTACGCCAACACCCCGTAAAAGTACAGGCGTCCAAAATAGTATCATCAACTAATGTGATCGTCGAAAAGTTATTTGGCTGATGTTTCATCACTTGGGCTCAGACAGGTTATTATGGGAGGCCCAGTCCTATTTATCATGATCACCTCATGTTCTGAAACGTACTTAAACTTAGTTTTCTTTTTCTAAATTTCACCTCGTGTCGAAGCTATCACGAAACACACATTGGTTGTTTATAGCATAAAGAAACATCTGATTTAAGTGATTAGGGAAATAAACATTTGAATATGTGTATATAAATTATGTAATGTTTCACAGCTGTAAGTGCTTGAAAAGCCTGGAAAATGCACCTTGAAAATGCTTGAAAAGGCTTGAATTTGACTTTGGAATAAGTGTAAGGAACCCTGCACTTAGACCAGGTCCTGACTAGAAACTACTATACCTAGACTATCAAAATCTGGACTGGAGTACCCAGAGGGTCTAAGATTCTTTATAACACAGTTTGAGATTTGTGAAACCTAATTCTATTTGTGAAAATAAAAAAAAAGGGAGATTTTCAGTGCTGTTTTCACATCTTGACCACATTGGACAGGTCTAATTAACCTAAAAATCTAAAAATGTGTTGGTATTGTGACAGTTAGATCATTACAGGCCAGTGTTTCCCTTTATCTGCTATACTCGCTATGATAGGAGTGCACTACGAAGTGAATGGAGTCTTTCAGAGCCTGTACACAGTTCAGATCATCCAGTGTAAAGCTATACTGTAGCATTAGTAATCATTTCTATGTCAAAAAAGTATAAACAGCAATCAATATCAAAACTTGCTAAACCATGCTCATGTCTTTATTATATTTGTGTTGCAATAGGTCATGCCACAGTCTGACAAGCATAGCTTGTTTAAGATTCAAAATGCAGCCCCAACTTCAATCCATAAAGCATCCAAATATATATCTGTGGCAGTGCTCATTAGTAGCCGCCATCCCATGCAAGTTTTAAATATACTGGGACCCCCAGAAGGCGCGTTAACTGGTGAGTACATGTACAGGATTATCAGGGCCTATTTGCTTCATTTACATTATTTAGTGGGTTTGAGTAGAGTACTTTTAGAATTCTAAAGTGTATTTTGAAAATGTATTGAAACAAAAAAAAGTCTCCATAACCTAACTTTCTACGAATAATAAAAGAATTTTTTAAGATAGACTATATACATGTTCTGAAGCACGTGGCCCTCTGAGAAGCTCCGACACAACATTCAATAGCTTTAGCCGCAGAAGGCTGCTGGCTCTGGTGGAGGCTGCCACAGCTTCTGTGCCCCTGATGTGAGCTACATTCATCTTCTTTTGAGTATTGTGGTGTTCCAGTCCGTGCATTACAATCATAATAGCGAACACCAAGAAAAATGTGATGCCACTAGTTAACTACTTCCTGAGTGGCTGCTTAATATTTTTGTAACTATGTTAACATGTCAGAGCTTTGCAGCTGCACGTAGTTATACTCTAAGAACTTTATGTCACTAGTACTGGTCCAGGGGTCACTAGTTCTTCAAAAGCTTACAAGTTGGACTTTGTGCTACTAGTGCTTCTCCTGGCATAACTAGTAGGCTTATGTGCAACTAGTCGGACAAAAGTGCACTAGTTCTGAAAAAGAGTGATCTATGTAATGTTTTATTTAACTATAAAGCAGAGTCGTAACAAGTGAGAGAGAGAGAGAGAGAGAGAGAGACGGGATGAAGTGATGCACCCATCGTGCTACCGTACAAGCCTGTGGGGGCAGTATTATGGTCTGGGGCAGCTGCAGTTAGTCAGGTCTAAGTTCAGGTCACGTTCCAAAGAATGAGGTCAGCGACACCTGAAATACTGAGACGGTCTTTCATCAATGGAGTTTTTCTTCCTGATGACGGACATATTCCAAGAGGACAATGCCAGGGGGGCTCACATTGTGAATGAGTGCTTCAGGGAGGAGGAAACAACCTTTCTACACATGGAAGTCCAGACCTCAGCCCCATTGAGAGTCTTTGGGATGTGCTGGAGAAGACTTTGCGCAGCGGTGCGACTCTCAAATCATAAATACAAGATCTTGGTGGAAAATGAATGCAACTCAGGACAGAAATACATTTTGTGTCATTGCAGAAGCTTATTAATATATATATTAAATATTAGTATGCAACTTTTCTTTTGGAAAGGGCAAAAAAAATGTATATTTACAACCATCTTAATTGATGGAGAACAGTCTGTAGTACCCTTCGCTGTGTTTGTTCAAACTGATCAGAGAGCAGCTTAGGTGCTTCCTTCCACACATCGACACACTCCGGTTCTTGTTTCATGTCCTCTTTAAGAACCACACGTTTGATGAAGAGTGTAGAGTGAAGAACTGTGGGCCTGATGAATAAATGGGCATCAACCTTCTGATTATTATTTACGTCCATCCATCCTCCGAGGCCGGCAGGATGAATGAAGCTTGTAGAAGTTCCTAATGAACTCTGAGAGGACGAGACAGACGGATGGAGAGAGGGAAGCTGGAGGTGAAGGAACGAATCACTCCTTCCTGTTCAAAAGCTTTAGATAATAGCAGGCTGCAGATCCATCACAGGAAGGTGTGGGGGGGCCGACAGCAGATTTAACATCATGAAGTGGTCAGCCATGTTTGGTGGATCAGATATTTTACACTTCAGTGTGACGGCAGTTAATGTAATCTTTAACCCACTATGCAGTATCATCCGAAAAATTCAAATGTATTGTATCTTCTGGAAGTGAAATATCACCTGAAAAAACAGTTGCTTAATTTATGCGTGCGTATGTAAAACATTACCTGTTTTTTTCCCTCCTGCAGATCGTGGGTCCAGCAGATGGGTCGAACTACATCGTGGATTATTACGGCGCCCGGCTGACCCGCCTGTCCATCACCAACCAAACCTACAGGAAGCCACATCTGTCTCTGTGAAAACAGCTTCACACACTGTGAGTTCATTTCATTTCATTTCAAACCTTTATTTATGCAGGTGAATCCCATTGAGATCATTGATCTCTTTTTCAAGGGTGACCTGCACTGCAGTGAGTTCACTGGTGAGTTTAGAGTATTAGGTTATGCTCTCAAACATTAAAAGTTTGCTTAATGTTGGCTGTATGGATTTCTTTTCTGCATACAAACATCTCGTCAATATAATGTTAAACTAAGAAAAGCAGGACATCTTCATAATTGTGAGGCTAAAAACAGGCAAGATATTTTGGAAAATAACATAGCTGTGACGATACATCGGTTTACAAAATAGATGCTTGTACATATATAGAAACAGTCAGTTTCCAGAACATCACAGTCTCCAGACAGATCATAAGAACACATTTTAAGAAAAATATCAAAACCAACACTTGATTAAGAAAGTACAAGTTAAACTTCACAGTTCAAGGTCACACACAAACACACACACACACACACACACACACACACACACACACACACACACACACACACACACACACACACACACACACACACACTTCCCCTGTGGGATTGAGCTGTTTAATATCAGAGTGTAAATTCAACATGAGGAAAGTTTCTCAGGGAATAAAAGAGTGACACTGAATAAAATCTAATCCAGTTTTGACTTCTTGAAGGCAGCGTTACTACAGCGGGGGAAAGGAGGGCTTTCAATCAAATACTCTACTTCAGTACAATGTTTGTACATGCACCGAACTTGAGTATTTCCAGTTTAAGCTACTTTATACTTACTCTAGTTCCACAAAGAGAACACAATAAGATAGTATGGAATATAATGATAATACAGTAGCATTACTATCACAGGTGCCATGTCACTAAAGGGTTAACAACAGGACTTGGTGTTTTTACAGTGTGCTATCGCTACCTTTAATAGAAGGTGTTCATTAAAATGTTATTTGAAATATAAAAATGTATTCAGCATTCTATTCAGTGCTAGATATGTAATATTATATTACTTGTATTCTTTTACTCTGTGCATATTAATTATTGATACAATAATTCAAATAGAAATGTACAATATTAAAACTAAAAATTGTCATGAAATGAAAGATTTCAGTAAAACATAAAGATGAATAAAAAAGGGAAACGTAATTATATAAATATCTGATTTTAAAACAGAATTTTGAAAAATAATCTTAAAATGTTTAATTTGTTCTTCCTTCAGGCCCGTCATAAATACAGAGAAAACTGCATACAACGGAGGATCCCCTTAACTTCTTCCACATCCACAGTTCAAGAATGAATGTGATATTTATTCAAACCTTCAGCCACCTGACTGAAGACATTTCAAGCAGCATTCGTCTGGCTCCGCATGTTTTCAGATTCATCCATCAAATGTTAGATTGATCAGTACTATAAGCCATTCGTTTCTTCAAGCATAATTACTGTGTTTCCACCTCTTCTGTAGAGTACGGTGTTAAACTAACAATATCAAGTCTCTCTGGGTCACATTTATATCACACCAGCTGGTCATTTATTTAAATGTGTTGTACTATATTGTGATGTTTCTTTGCTGTTATGTAACAATGTTTTTCTATGAGAACAGACATTGTAAATAAAGTTTATTTTTGCTTTCCGTCTATATTTGACTCTTTATTAAATAACACAATTGTTGAAGTCCCACAGCTGAGGATGTGATTTGTTTAAGGGTTTAAGAGGGTTTTATCTTTTTTTAATTTTAGTCATTTTTGTATTGGAACCACTTAGATATTTGATGTGTTTGTTACTTGTTTTTTTACTGTTTAAAGGTCCCCTATTCTACTCTTTTTCCACAATATACTACAGGTCTCAGATACATACAGAACATGTTTCTGAAGTGTTTGGCTGAAACACCAAACACTTCATTGTAGCATCCCATAATCCCCTCTGTTTCAGCCCTGTTCCAAAAGTGCAGATTCTGGGTCTGTAGCTTTAAATGCTAATGAGCTGCTGCTGGCCACGCCCCTCTGAGAGATGATTGGTTCAAAAACATAATGGTGCTCTAGGAGGAGATTCAGGTGATAAGGTGGTTGGTTACCTTTGTTGGTGATTGGCTAATGGTTAAACAAGCCAAACAAACATTGTGACATCAAAAAGTGGCCAAAATCTAATCTTCAGTCTTTGTTCCTGAAACAGTCAGAGCACAGAGGGGACACATACTGTATATATGTGTAAAAGACATGAAAAAGTTGATTTTGTATAATAGGTGACTGTGGTTAGGACGCCGGCTGCTGGAGTGATGGGAGTGGCTCAGCGGGGGACCAGACAGCTGATCAGAATCAGGTAATCAGTTACTCAATGAAAGCATCTGGTAACCATGGTTCTGGGCTCTTGCAGTAGGCTGGGTCCTGGGTGGAGGACTGTCACTCGCCCAGCCACCTCGCGAAATAGAGGAGCAGTCCGGGCTTCATGGGAGCCCTTTTTTGTGTTGACACTCAGCCTGAAATAAACTCTGCTTGTTTGCCAAACCGTTCCATCCGTCATATTTTATCCCTCTCGTGAGCTGGAACGCTCACAGTGACCTTTAAATGTTTGACAGTAGGTTACAAAACACAAAACATGTATAGATCAACTCTAGATAATTCAGCACCTGCTCTTCAAACTGCTCCATTACTCAATTATTCAACAAAGTTTTACACAATGCATATCTGCTGATAGTCCTTGTGAATTCCTGGGAAAACCCTTGGAGGTATATTTTTTTTAATCACTTTTTTTGGATCACTATCAACACGTTACTGATGCGATACACAGTCCTAACAGCTTCTCCCTCTCCACTGATAGACGGGTTGTAGTAACAAGGCAACCAGGCCCGGTTCCAGAACAAAATGACTCAGGGTGCATCTGAGATTAGAGAGGGTGCAGTGGTAAAGTGCTATTTTTATAAGTGGGGAGTGGACCTAACACCCTCTAGGGGGGTCCGGGGGCATGCTCCCCCGGGAAGATTTTTTTTTTAAATATTGAAGTTAAATGCATCAATCTGGTGCACTTTGAGAGCAAAATGAAGAGATATATGGATACCTCAACATCCATATGAAAC